TTTTTGGTAAAAACTCAACTCGTCGTGTTTGGAGGACAAAGAATGCTGAGTTGCATCCAAAGAACACCATACCTACTGTGAAGCATGGGGGTGGAAACATCATGCTTTGGGGCTGTTTTTCTGCAAAGGGACCAGGACGACTGATCCGTGTAAAGGAAAGAATGAATGGGGCCATGTATCGTGAGATTTTGAGTGAAAACCTCCTTCCATCAGCAAGCGCATTGAAGATGAAACGTGGCTGGGTCTTTCAGCATGACAATGATCCCAAACACACCGCCCGGGCAACGAAGGAGTGGCTTCGTAAGAAGCATTTCAAGGTCCTGGAGTGGCCTAGCCAGTCTCCAGATCTCAACCCCATAGAAAATCTTTGGAGGGAGTTGAAAGTCTGTGTTGCCCAGCGACAGCCCCAAAACATCACTGCTCTAGAGGAGATCTGCATGGAGGAATGGGCCAAAATACCAGCAACAGTTTGTGAAAACCTTGTGAAGACTTACAGAAAACGTTTGACCTGTGTCATTGCCAACAAAGGGTATATAACAAAGTATTGAGAAACTTTTGTTATTGACCAAATACTTATTTTCCACCATAATTTGCAAATAAATTCATAAAAAATCCTACAATGTGATTTTCTGGATTTGTATTACTCATTTTGTCTGTCATAGTTGACGTGTACCTATGATTAAAATGACAGGCCTCTCTCGTCTTTTTAAGTGGGAGAACTTGCACAATTGGTGGCTGACTAAATACTTTTTTTCCCCACTGTAGACTGAGGTGAATATAGCAAGCAATGTGATAATGACTGGGGTCATTTTGGCTTGTTTTTGCTGTTCTCTAAATAGTATTTTAGCATTCACTAAAACTCAGACCCTGGTTACGGTCCTACACACACTTGCACTCACACACACACTGTCTTATCTGACATTATAAAGACACACACCCCTCGCTCTTCAATGTCGGACTCTATATTTCACCTGACAGACAGAGAGGCTGATTAAAGGGGGATGAATGGACGGACTCACTGAGCTGATGATGTACACACGAAGGAGATGATGATGTACACATGAAGGAGATGATGATGATGTACACATAAAGGAGATGATGATGATGATCTACAAACGGAGATGATGATGTACACATAAAGGAGATGATGATGATGATGATGTATCTACAGAAAGGAGATGATGATGTACACATAAAGGAGATGATGATGTACACATAAAGGAGATGATGATGTACACATAAAGGAGATGATGATGTACACACAAAGGACGGCCAGCAGAGTCCAAGGAGATGGTTTGACTGAGTGATAACGGAAACCTGGGCAGTGGACACGTATTCATAAAACCTCTCAGAGTAGAGGTGCTGATCTAGGATCAGTTGATCTTGCTGATCAGCACTCCTTCTCTGAGTTTCTTTATGAATGAAGGCCCAGACCTATAGGCCCACAGGTCAGGAAGTCGTTAAACTGCATGTTGTTATCAAAACACTTATTGTGACGTATTCCCATGTTGTGGTACAACTACAATACGACAAGCGATATGAAAATGTTTACCAGAGGGCCAACATGTCCTTTCCTAATCTCCATTCTCAAATCTAGATGGGCCTAGCATTGATTGCTTGTCTGAGCCAATTATTCAGGCAGAAATGAATGCAAGAGCTATTCTCCAGGATTACATAATCAAAATACTTCACATTTCAGCATCCGCTGTTATTCTTTGTCTAATACTGAAGAGCCTCTGGTTACTGTAGGCCTACAACACTGTCTCTGAGAGTTTGTAGAATACATAATATGATTATTATTAAAGACAATGCCATGCTGAATAATATCAGATGAAACACTGACTGTGTCTGAAATGGCACCCTATTCACTATAGTCATAGGGTCTAATGTGTACTATGTAGGGAATAGGGTGTCATTTTGGCACAGAACCACTCTCTGTCACATGCTGGCATTCTAATGTAATATTCATAAGAAAACATGTCTAGTCTGTTTTCAGGTATTTCAAATCTACATTTGTCTTTGTTCTTGGGAAGGATGAGTTCTTCTCTCCTCAACCCTAATCTATTCTAATGTCCTTGAATTAAAATGAGAAATACGGCCACCACAGTATTAACACGTACTGCGTGTTCTCTCTGTACCTCATAAATCTGACGTGTCCTTTTGTTTCATAAACGGCCTTGGGGTATAAATGATTACATTTTATTAGAAGACTTCTTTCTCTAAGGTCTTTCTGCTAGGCTTAAAGTAATGTCATGCAAACGGTTGGTCCTAAACGTGTTTCTATGTGATGATGGCCCTGTAATCATATTAAGTGATTTTATTAACATAATTCCCTTGACTTTGCCTCATACAGCCAATAGAATGGATCCTGTTTTTTCATAAACAACAATATTATGACCAAATGGGAGTAATGATGGGATTTTTTGAAAACTCGGTTGGCAACAACTCCAACATATTAAATGCAGCACTAGTATACAGTATTATAATGTCGGCTGTCTGTGGTCCAATCATTGAGAAATTCAATCGACCTTGAATATGTATAAAATGCATGTATTACATATTATTATGAACTCTTAATTTGAATAACAAATAGGTTTGAATTTGATTACATTGGTATAGGCCATCATCGAAAAGAGTGAAGCAGCCATGACAGTGTCTTCCAGTCAGGAGATGTTCTAGTGCTGTTCAGAGAGACATCAATCATCTTCACAGTGTTCACTGACTCACATATATGGGAATTTCTCTTCCAGTATTCAGTGTTACTGTAACAGTGTTCCATATTAGCTGGGAACCAATGGAATATTAAAATGCACAAATGAATGTCACATTGTTACAATCCACTGACCTACATGTCCACCACCACAACCACCCTCATTCAACGCTTCTTGCTCATTGTCCAGGGCCAGATAATTAACATTAATTGGAGCCTGATGCGGATTTGAAAAGAAATAAGCATTTTACAGCACACTTTTCATAACTCTACAGTTAGGTGTTTTTCCCATGCACTTTTAGAGGTTGCGCCTCACCACAGATCTAGGATCAGCGTTATCTCTACTTGTGTTCTATATGACATGTGTACCAATGCAAAGGTCAACTATCAGACGTTTAATAAATCCTTTAAATGAACCAAAAGCCATTTCTTTACTAATCATTTTTTTCATTCTTCTCACCAGGGCCAGATAAATGCAGGGGCTGAAACCCCTGGGCCCAGGCCCGTAGGGGGCCCAAGAGGAAGCAAAACATTTTTAGAATAATAAAGGAAATATGTACTGTATATATTATATATACAGTATATATTATATATATAGTATATACAGTTGAAGTCGGAAGTTTACATACACCTTAGCCAAATACATTTAAACTCTGTTTTTTCACAGAGTGGTTGAAAACGAGTTTTAATGACTCCAACCTAAGTGTATGTAAACTTCCGACTTCAACTGTATATATATATATTTTTTTACTGCAACAGCCAACCACAGGAGGACTCAGTAGCCCGCTCTCAATGAGTGTAGACAGCCTGCTGCTGCCTGCTGCCGCTCTGCTGATCATCAGATGGGGGGAGGAGAGGGGGTAGGGGGGCCACGTGGATAACTGGGGGGCCCTGCCTTGATTGGGTAACTGATTAATACAAATAAAAATGGCAGAATAAATAAATGTGACTGGTCAATTGTGTGAGTCAGGGCTTGGCCCAAACGGAAAAAAACGAAGAAAAAAAACACGTTATTTTTTGTCTTATTATAATTTTTTATCCAACCACAGGAGCCCTCTCTCAATGTTCAAAATACACCAGAGAGCATGATTTAGCCACAGAGGATCAATGGTTTATAACAAAAATATCTGTAGTTTAAGTTTTATCACAAGCACATACAGGTATCTGCCAAAATAAAGGAAACACCAACATAAAGTGTCTGAAAAGGGTGTTGGGCCACCACAAGCTGCCAGAACAGCGGAGTCACTCACCACCTTCCGGAGACTTGAAACCCCACCTCTTTAAGGAATACCTGGGATAGGAGAAAGTAATCCTTCTACCCCCCCTTACCCCACCACCCCAAAAAAAAAAAAAAATATATATATATATATATATTGTAAAGTGGTTATCCCACTGGCTATAAGGTGACTGCACCAATTTGTAAGTCGCTCTGGATAAGAGCGTCTACTAAATGATGTAAATGTAAATGCATAGATTCTACAAGTGGGCCTAAACCATGCCAGGAAAATGCACCCCACACCATAATACTTTGTATCCCTCATTTACTCAAGTCTTTCCTTTATTTTGGCAGTTACCAGGATGCCTACAGTCGGGATACCCGCAGAGGCAGTTTGGGCAGCATGCACGCCAAATATACACTTTTCTGCGTTGTGGCCATAGACATATAATCCATAGATGGGTTTTGTAACCTCTTACCCTGGTAATTTGAATGTGAAAATCATGGGTACTGTATTTTCTTTGTTCCTCTAGAATAGTCATAATCTTCATGCACGACAGTACTCAAGCAATGGATGCCAGTCCTGATTTGAATGGGAACTGCCATCTATGGATTATATTTCTATGGTTGGTTGCTGCTGTCAATTTGTCTTTTGCAGATTTCAAAATACAATCGCGGGAAAAACGTACAGTTTGGAAAGCAAAAGCATACTGCTGAAAAGAGGAGACTAATCTGTCTGTAGAACCAATAGAATAAAACAATTTCTCAACAACTCCCAATTGTTTTGCTAACAGCAGCAGTGATTTGTTCATCCGGCCATGCGTCTCACTGAGCTGCACTGCAGAGAGACCACCAACCTGTTTTCCTCAATTAACTCCTCCCACTCTAAATCCTCGAGCGTTTTCCTCATTGGTCGAGCTTTGATATTCCGCCATATTCAAACTTCCGCCGTCACTTTTGGTTGGGTTGATGGATTTACTGCAGATTGGTTTCTTTCTTTCATCGTCGTTGCTGTTTCATTATAATTTTATTGTTTTGAATTAGCTAGCTAGCTTCCTACACCCAACCTCTAAAATGGAGGAGTCGGAGGTGGTCGAATTATCAGTGGAAGACAAGCCGAAGAGTCGAAGGATTTCCTCGAAGAGAACATCCACCATCAGCCTAGCGGTCGTCAGCTCCGAAACCTCCCCCGCCACTGTCAACAACTCCAAAAAGTAAGGCGCGATGGGTAATATTGATAAATAAATGCGTGTTTTGACTTAATAATTTTAAAGATTAGCCCGATATGCTAGCCAGATTTTTGTCACACCACATGGCAAATCATTCATGGTTCAATAAATATGGATTCAGGTAGGCCTTTCATGTGCTACTAGCTAGCTAGCCTAAGGTAACTAGCTAACGTTAGCTAGCTAGGGTCCCCTGGTTTTAATCTCTATCAAACAAACACTGCATCATTAGCGATAATTTTTTAATTGCGCTCTAGTAGTGTAGTACGTTAGCTAAGTTAGTTAAAAACGTACCGTGACTATACTAACTAGTATGTAACTAACTAGTTCGTTTGATTTATTTAGACAAACACATGTGAAGTTTGATTAGTCTCAAATTTGTCGAAATAGCCTAAATAGATTGCTAACTACGTCCATAACAGTACATCAGTGGACCACCCCACAGCCTTTTAGAGGCATCTGATGCTGAGCTTACTATCTCCTGAGGAAAGAGTCCATCAAAAGATAACATTGTTCTTCTATATCGGTGTGGTGGGTTTATCTAGAACACCTTAGAGAAAATGCACATTCAGTCATGGTCAAAGTTTTATGCTTTGCCTCTAAGTCTACACTTAATAATAACACCAAAGTATGATTTGTGTATGTATCTGATTGTCAAAGAGTCCATACGGCCTAAGTAGGGGCATTTTGGTTGGGTTACAGTATGAATATCTCATAGTGTTTATTTCTGGCTGTTTTCTCTCTCACCCTGTAGACCGCCACTGTGCAGAGGGAGTTCCTTCACCTTCCTGACTCCAGTAACACCATGGGACTTCAATCTGGTGAGTAGTACTGTAGCTAGTACTAAACTGATGGAATGCCAACATCAAACCAACATGTGTCTTTCTCAATTACTACAAAGTCAGTCAATCAAATTTAACACAGTACAAAATAAATACTTCATTTATTTCCATGTGAAATGTACACTGCCTTGCAAAAGTGTTCAGACCCCTTGGATTTCTTCAAATTGTTTGTGTTACAATTAAATTGTCCCTTTTTTTTTTACAATGAGGGGAAAAAAGTATTTGAACCCCTGCTGATTTTGTACGTTTGCCCACTGACAAAGACATGATCAGTCTATAATTTTAATGGTAGGTTTATTTGAACAGTGAGAGACAGAATAACAACAAAATCCAGAAAAACGCATGTAAAAATTTTTATAAATTGATTAGCATTTTAATGAGGGAAATAAGTATTTGACCCCTCTGCAAAACATGACTTAGTACTTGGTGGCAAAACCATTGTTGGCAATCAGAGGTCAGACGTTTCTTGTAGTTGGCCACCAGGTTTGCACACATCTCAGGAGGGATTTTGTCCCACTCCTCTTTGCAGATTTTCTCCAAGTCATTAATGTTTCGAGGCTGACGTTTGGCATCTCGAACCTTCAGCTCCCTCCACAGATTTTCTATGGGATTAAGGTCTGGAGACTGGCTAGGTCACTCCAGGACCTTAATGTGCTTCTTCACGAGCCACTCCTTTGTTGCCTTGGCCCTGTGTTTTGGGTCATTGTCATGCTGGAATACCCATCCACTACCCATTTTCAATGCCCTGGCTGAGGGAAGGAGGTTCTCACCCAAGATTTGACGGTACATGGCCCCGTCCATCGTCCCTTTGATGCGTGAAGTTGTCCTGTCCCCTTAGCAGAAAAACACCCCCAAAGCATAATGTTTCCACCTCCATGTGTGACGGTGGGGATGGTGTTCTTGGGGTCATAGGCAGCATTCCTCCTCCTCCAAACACGCCGAGTTGAGTTGATGCCAAAGAGCTCGATTTTGGTCTCATCTGACCACAACACTTTCACCCAGTTCTCCTCTGAATCATTCAGATGTTCATTGGCAAACTTCAGACGGGCCTGTATATGTGCTTTCTTGAGCAGGGGGACCTTGCGGGCGCTGCAGGATTTCAGTCCTTCATGGCGTAGTGTGTTACCAATTGTTTTCTTGGTGACTATGGTCCCAGCTGCCTTGAGATCATTGACAAGATCCTCCCGTGTAGTTCTGGGCTGATTCCTCACCGTTCTCATGATCATTGCAACTCCACGAGGTGAGACCTTGCATGGAGCCCCAGGCCGAGGGAGATTGACAGTTATTTTGTGTTTCTTCCATTTGCGAATAATCGCACCAACTGTTGTCACCTTCTCACCAAGCTGCTTGGCGATGGTCTTGTAGCCCATTCCAGCCTTGTGTAGGTCTACAATCTTGTCCCTGACATCATTGGAGAGCTCTTTGGTCTTGGCCATGGTGGAGAGTTTGGAATCTGATTGATTGCTTCTATGGACAGGTGTCTTTTATACAGGTAACAAGCTGAGATTAGGAGCACTTCCTTTAAGAGTGTGCTCCTAATCTCAGCTCGTTACCTGTATAAAAGACACCTGGGAGCCAGAAATCTTTCTGATTGAGAGGGGGTCAAATACTTATTTCCCTCATTAAAATGCAAATCAATTTATAACAGTTTGACATGTTTTTCTGGATTTTTTTGTTGTTATTCTGTCTCTCACTGTTCAAATAAACCTACCATTAAAATGATAGAATGATCATTTCTTTGTCAGTGGGCAAACGTACAAAATCAGCAGGGGATCAAATACTTTTTTCCCTCCCTGTGTATATATAAATAAAAAATGTAGAACTAAAATATAGTTGTTGCATAAGTATTCAGCCTCTTTGTTTAGGCAAGCCTAAATTAGTTCAAGAGTAAAATGTGGCTTAACAAATCACATAAGTTACATGGACTCACTCTGTGTGAAATAACAGGGATTGACATGATGTTTGAATAACTACCCCTTCCTCTGTCCCCCATACATACAACATCTGTAAGGTCCCTCGGTGAAGTATTGAATTTCAAGCACAGATTCATCTACAAGGGAGTTTTTTGAAAGCCTCATAAAGAAGGGCAGTGATTGGTAGATGGGTAACGATAACAAATCAGACATTGAGTATCTCTTTAAGCCTGGTCAAGTTAATAATTCTGCTGTGGGTGATGTATTAAACCACCCATCAAAGATACTGTTGTCCTGAACTGAGCTTCAGGACAGGAATGAAACTGCTCAGTGATGTTACCATTGGTGATATTAAAACGGCTACAGAGTTCAATGGTTGTGATGGGGAAAAAACTGTAGTGAAAAGAAGAATACAAATAAACAGAATATAAAAATTTAAAAAATGCATCTTGTATGCAACAGGGCACTAAAGTAATACTGGGGGAAAAAACAGCAAAGGAAAACACTTTTCCCGGGATAAAAAGAAACCTGGTACAGACTGTTTTCCACCAGACACTGGGAGAGGAAATCACCTTTCAGCAGGACAATAACCTACAACACAAGGCCAAATCTACACTGGAGTTGCTTACCAAGAAGACAGTGAATGTTTTTGAGTGGCCAAGTTACAGTTTTGACTTAAATCTGCTTGAAAATCTATGGCACATTTAGAAAATTGCTGTATAGCCGTGATCCCCAACAGAGCTTGAAGATTTTTGGAGGGGAAAAAATGTGCAAATATTGCACAATTCAGGTGTGCAAAGCTCTTAGAGACTTACCCAGAAGACTCGCAGCTGTAATCGATGCCAAATGTGTTTCTAACATGTATTGACTCAGGGAGCTGAGTACTTATGCAACAACTATATTTTAGTTATTACATTTTGATTAATCTTTAATTTTTTGAATTTTTCTTCCACTTTGACAGTAGAGTATGTTGTGTAGATTGTTGACAAAAAATGACAATTAAATCCATTTTAATCCCACTTTGTAACACAATAAAGTGTGAAGAAATTCAAGGGGTCTGAATACTTTTGCAAGGCACTTTATATACATATTTTAAGTCTTGTGAAGGTTAGGAACACACTCACTCTGTACTTGCGTTTACCTTTCCCACAGAAGAGAAAACGCAAAGAGCCCAAGGATGATGACACTGTCAGTCTGTCCAGCTTTGACCTCAAAGTAAGCCAAGGCTCCACCAGATGTTACAAGATTTCTTATTATTAAAACACTTGCCATCACACGTTGACCCCCCCCCCCCCCCCTCATGTGAAATATTTATTTACAGCACACCAGTAGGCAATATGCTGCTTCTTTTTCCAAACGGGCTTGTGAGAGTCACTGACTGTAGTCTGAGGCTGCTCTGGTACCTTTTTTTACAGAAGAGAAAACGCACAGAGAAAAAGGAGGATGAGGACACAGTCAGTCTGTCGAGCTTTGACCTCAAAGTAAGCCGATGCTCCCACAGGCTTCTTCTACAACTGTGATGATGATGATGACATTAGAGGCTGCTGCTGCCTATTGAAATCACTGGCCACTTTAAGAAATGGAACACTAGTCACTTTTTAACAATGTTTACATATCTTGCACTACTCATCTCATATGTATATACTGTATTCTATTCTATAATATTCTACTGTATCTTAGTCCATGCCGCTCTGTCACTGCTTGTCCATATATGTATATATTTTTAAATTCCCTTCCTTACTTAGATTTGTGTGTATTGGGTATATGTTGTGAAATTGTTAGATATTACTTGTTAGATATTACTGCACTGTCGGAGCTAGAAGCACAAGCATTTCGCTACACCCGCAATAACATCTGCTAAACACGTGTATGTGACAAATACAATTTGATTTGACGATGAATAAATGAATCCACTTGCCATGTGTATATCTATCTGTATGTGAGATGGTGAGTAAAATAAAGCCATAGGGTTGTTAGTAATATCCCCTGGTATGAATTCAGATTGTCATCATTGCCATCCATAACACTGATAGAACTCAAAGTCATTTCTCTCCTCTGTTTTCCAGGAGCCCAGTAACAAGCGCGTGCGTCCACTGAGCCGGGTGTCATCTCTGGCTAACCTGATCTCCCCTTCCAAGAATGGAGCTGTCCGACGCTTTGGTCAAACCATCCAGGTACAGTATATTCCCCTGTATTACGCCGTAATAACTCCAGACAGAAGCCAATGGCATTTGACCTGGTAGTAGATTTTTTTTTTTTTTTTTATCTGATCTTTTTTTGTGTGCTTTTTTGTTTATTGAACAGCAGGAAGTTATAGAGAAGGAGATTGACAGTAGAGGGGCACGGACAGAGAAGCCGAGACGGACTCTGGCATGTCTAACTTTTTACTCACGTCCTCAGAACATGTCACTGCGTGGGGGTGACAGCAAGTCGCCGGGTGCGTCCCGGAAGTCGTGCAGTAAGGCAGCGGGCCCAACACCTCCCAAACGCAGAAACAGCACTCTGTGGTCCGAAACACTGGACGTTCACCAGAAGAGCACCTTCTCCACCAAAGAGATCAAGAGACAGGAGGCAAGGCAGTTAAAAAAAAAAAAAATATATATATATACAACTGTAGCACATGTGTTATCATCATAGTTCAATGACTTTTTTTATAGATAATGTGTTGTGCCAAACATGGTATAATCCCAATATATCATGCCTTATTGCTTAATTATAGTAGAGGTAGTAGGGCTGGGCAATATAGTGAATTAATTTGAATAATTCTAATTTATCATTTTACCAGATATTCCAAATGCCTGTATCGCAAGATTCACGTTTATTCTTTTAATTTGTTGTTTTTATGAGTGTTTATGTCCTCTTGTTCTCTTGTTGTCTTTTCGGTCTTGCTCCTGTGCTGTGTGCACCTTCCCATTTACACACACACCAAGCCCCTCCCCCACACGCCAAGCCCTTCCCCCACACACCAAGCCCTTCCCCCACACGCCAAGCCCTTCCCCCACACGCCAAGTCCCTCCCCCACACGCCAAGCCCCTCCCCCACACGCCAAGCCCCTCCCCCACACGCCAAGCCCCTCCCCCACACGCCAAGCCCTTCCCCCACACGCCAAGCCCTTCCCCCACACGCCAAGTCCCTCCCCCACACGCCAAGCCCTTCCCCCCACACGCCAAGCCCCTCCCCCACACGCCAAGCCCCTCCCCCACACGCCAAGCCCCTCCCCTGCCACTCACAGCAACAAAGATGAGAGATCACTTCTTCCTCTCTGACAAGCGGTTTCAACTCGCCATTTGGGTTTTGGTCTAACAGAATTGGTCATATGGACACCGAAAAACATTATTGTTGCGACATTATTTTATTGTAGAGGGGAGAAGATAACCTTTCTAACAATACCCTTTTTATGTCTCAACTCCTCAAATTGCGTGCAGGGCAGATACTACTAAAACGATACTACTAAAACGTGAGTATCAATGAACATTGATTCTGGAAAATAAGACCAGGTACCGCTAGCAGCAACAACAAAAATATATAGGACTTTTTTTAGGTCATATCGCCCAGCCCTAATATGTAGTAAGGGGATCGATGTTATAGTCAGCTGTTTGTGTCTGATGTTATAGTCAGCTGTTTGTGTCTGATGTTATAGTCAGCTGTTTGTGTCTGATGTTATAGTCAGCTGTTTGTGTCGGAGTTCGGCATGTACTCTTTGTCTGGTATGTAATCGATTATGAATTCGGAAACGGCAAGCCTTATAAACAACTTGATTCATGTTCTCTCTAGGCCATTCATGAGCTATCCAGAGGAGAACAGGACCTTATTGAAGACCTCCAAATGGCACGAAAGGTACAATAAATGATTAAATGAACAAGTTTGTCTGTCTTCCTCTCATAACGCTGATTGACTGTAGCTTTATTTCTTGTTCAACAGGCATATCACGATCCCATGCTGAAGCTTTCCATCATGACGGAGGAGGAGCTAACTCATATATTTGGAGATCTGGATGCTTACATTCCACTTCATGAAGGTACTAGGTCTTTGTGTTCACTACCAGCCTCACCAGGGCTGGGGTCAATTCCAGTTCATTAACATTTCCTTTAGTTTCAAGAATTGGAGTTGGGTTTTCCGTTTACCTCTTAAATTGAAATGGAATTGACCCCAGCCCTAAGCCTTCGTGTCGAAAGTGCTGCCAACTCTTTATTTGAGATGGTGGCTACAACAGATGGCCGTATGACAGCTACTAAACCAGACAGACTATTTGAAAATATATCTCCTCTTCAAATTGAGGGCTGATGGTTACGTTTCTCCTTGTTACAGACTTGTTGGATAAGCTTGCAAAGGGCACCGGCCCTAATGGAACAGTGGGTCAGATTGGACAGATCGTCATGGACTGGGTAGGTGCCTCGCCTCTTGTGTATCGGGTTTTTGGATGTTATGTGTATTTGTATATTTCTTTATGGCTATTTTTATTGCGAGAGCTCGAGTGAGTAAGATTTCCAATGTATTAATTACACATCGCAAATAAACTTGAAATGTAAAATCGTTCTCACATCGCCAACATTTAGAATGAATGTGTTTGTTTATGAAATGTAGACCCAGTGTCATGCTCACAACCCCCGTTTGCCTTTATCCGCAGCTGCCATCTTTGATTTTCTTCTCCCCGTCTTTAGAGAGAGGAGTCAGCTGCCATCTTTGATTTTCTTCTTCCCCTGTCTTTAGAGAGAGGAGTCAGCTGCCATCTTTGATCTTCTTCTTCCCCTGTCTTTAGAGAGGGGAGTCAGCTTCCATCTTTGATCTTCTTCTTCCCCTGTCTTTAGAGAGGGGAGTCAGCTTCCATCTTTGATCTTCTTCTTCCCCTGTCTTTAGAGAGAGGAGTCAGCTGCCATCTTTGATCTTCTTTTTCCCCTGTCTTTAGAGAGGGGAGTCAGCTTCCATCTTTGATCTTCTTCTTCCCCTGTCTTTAGAGAGGGGAGTCAGCTTCCATCTTTGATCTTCTTCTTCCCCTGTCTTTAGAGAGAGGAGTCAGCTGCCATCTTTGATCTTTTTCCCCCTGTCTTTAGAGAGAGGAGTCAGCTGCCATCTTTGATCTTCTTCTTCCCCTGTCTTTAGAGAGAGGAGTCAGCTGCCATCTTTGATTTTCTTCTCATCTTTGGCTTATAAAGCAAAAAACAGACACATTTTCATGATCTGAAAATGACACCTTCTTCTCTTCCAAGTTTCCTTGTCTGAATGCATACAGGGATGAAACTAATTTTCTTTCATTTCTTTATTTTTTTTGGAAAGGAAAAGAGAATATGTAGACTCATCTTCATGATCCCTCTGTCTTCCTCTAGTTGCCAGGTCTGAATGCCTACAGAGAATATTGCAGTAACCAGCTGGCCGCCAAGGCCCTGTTGGACCAGAAGAAGCAGGACCGGAGGGTGCAGGACTTCCTGCAGCGCTGCCTGGAGTCTCCCTTCAGCAGGAAGCTGGACCTGTGGAGCTTCCTGGATATACCCAGGAGCCGGCTGGTCAAATACCCCCTACTGCTGAGAGAGATACTGAGGCATACCCCGCCAGACCACCCTGATGTACCCTGCCTTGAGAAAGCGGTTTGTAGAGCGCACTCACACGACCCTACTAAAGCTGCTCACTGACATCAACACACACACACACACACACACACTTATCAGACACATCGTAAAGTTGCAAATGGTACACCCATACATGCTAATAGAATAATACATTTATTCTAAATCTCTTTTGACTTGACCGAAGTGTAATACTGTGATTCCAGATGACCATCATCCAGGGTGTGTTGTCTGACATCAACGTGAGGAAGGGAGAGTCGGAGTGTCAGTACTACATTAATAAGCTGGAGTATCTGGATGACAGGCAGAGAGACCCGCTCATCGACAACTGCAAGACCTTGCTCTGTCACGGAGAGCTACGCAACAAGAGTGGCTCGGTGAGCGTTTTTTAGACACACACAGTTTATCCCGTACGTTAGTACAACCTATTCTGTACGGCTGTATGCCCCCCCCCCAACTAACATGTAACCAGGCTTTCTGGTTTTCTTCTCATTGTGAAGTTGACCCCCCCCCCCCCTTTCAACCAATCAAATGTATTTCTAAAGCGTGTTTTACATCAGCAGTTGTCACAAAGTGCTTTCGCAGTAATAGGCCTGTTACGTTAACTCCGTGTGTTGTGTAGAAGCTGCACGTGTTCCTGTTCTCTGAGCTGCTGGTGCTGACGCGGCCGGTGACGCGTAACGAGCGGAGCTGCTACCAGGTGTACCGTCAGCCCCTCCCCATCAGAGACCTGGCTCTGGAGGACCTACAGGATGGAGACGTACGCATGGGAGGGTCCTTCAGAGGGGCCTTCAGCCAGGGGGAGAAAGGTGAGTTATGGTCTGGGACTCAATTGTCTCAATTAGTCTTTCTTCAATTCCTTGTGTCCTTCTCAAAATGCATTGGAGAAGATCTCTGCACTCAGGACTCAATGCCCAGTTTGTGAGTTGCTGGCACAATATCCTGTGTGGCGTTAACTCCACCTACATTTTACTGCGTTCATGATACATTTGGGAAAGGTACTGAGACCAAGGAGTTGTACTTTAGGAGGTGTTTTATGTGGACGTGTTTACGATGAACAGCAGTTTATATAATCTGCGTTGTTTCTGACTGTCTGTCTCTCTCTCTCCAGCTAAGAACGTGTTCCGCGTGACCTCCCTGGACCCGACCCACGGCCAGTCTCACACCCTGCAGGTCAACGACGTCTTCCACAAGCAGCAGTGGCTCAACTGTCTCCGGAGCGCCGTCGACGCCCAACCCCAAAAGCAGAGGGCACCACTCCGAGATCAGCACAGTGAGGCTACGACCAGGGCCAAGCGTCGTTCTTCTGTGGTGTCCATGTCCGATATGGTCCAGGTCGAGGAGGGGGCAGATGAGAACGACTGTTCCCAGGTCGGTGATCCAATCCGAGGGTGTAAAGGCACAGAGGCACTCCCCCGGTCTGATTCTTCAAGTAAAATGAAAAGAGAGTGGAGCCGTGGTCAGCTTCGCAGGAGGAAAGAGACCGGCGTTTAGGAGAGAGACCGGAACTGAGGAGTCCATGGAGCCCAGGGGGGGGGGGATGTCCAGCACGTGTATACCTTCACTGCTCTGTCCATCTTTTCTACCTTGTCTTCTTCTCTATGGTTTTATGTTGGACTTCGTATTTGTAATATTAATGTGTAGCCTACTTGTTCGTGAATTTCCATGGCATCTGTCTGTCAAGTAGTGAATTTGCATAGAAGAACGTCTGAAAATAGCAGTGATGTACCATGACGACCATGTAGCAGCTATGTCAAAACCGTCCAATCACATCCGTCCAGTCTGTGCACTGTAAACCAATGAAATTGAAGAGTTCTGTAAATTTCCGAAAGTAAAAAGAATTATTGGTTTACTTTACAAGGGAAATGATATGTGCCAACCAATGTGACTGAAAATGTTTTACATCTGTTTTACAGCGGTTATGTGAATTAGTTTTTTTTTAAATGACTAACTCTGTTTTATACAAAATAGCACTGTTTTAGCTCTTAAAATAAGAAATATATGTTGATTGGAACTGGAATTTATTAACCACTTGTTTTTGATTAAGTAATCATTTCTACTGGGTTGGTCAGTGTGTCCCTTGGTTAGTGTTTTTTAAATGGTTTTGTTGAGCCATTTCTCTGTGTCCCCCAAATGACACCCTATGTGGCCTGGTCAAAAGTAGTACCCTATATAGGGAATGGGGTGCGATTTGGGATGCAGGCTCTCTTTCCATGCAGCGCCATGTGTTGAGGTTGATCTCCAGTAGTGTACACAGTGTAGACGGCATGCACATATCTGTCAACTGTCTGTGGAGACAAAGGATGAAATGAGTATGTTGTTAGGAGAAGGCTTGGTAACTCGTGGGTTGATTCTCTACCCTCCTTCACCCAGAAGTGTGCACTCGTTCACTTCCTCACACATTTTTAAAAGTCTTGGATTAGTGTAAGTATGGCTGAAGGGAGTTTCTACCGTATTCCTTAAACCAGTCCATTCCTTTTAAATCCGCGAGGGAGAGTGCGCAAAGTGTAGTGTACGAGGGCAAACCTAGGGAGAAGGGTAGAGAATTGGACCGCAACTGAGTTGAATTAATGGTGGGAAAGTAAGGTTTCAGAATGAGTTCTCTTGAGAACTTTGTGTGAGAGACATAAGTAGAACAACGATCAACAAGTTATGCTGTGTGCAAAGAGAGGGGAAAGTATCACTGGAATGCTTGGTATGGATACTGAAAATGGAAAGACCAATTAAAGATTATGCGAGGCAAAATCTGCTAGAAGCTACCTGTGTGTGTGTGTATTTAATTCCTTTTCAATTAAAAATAAAGAGCTTTGGAACTGAAGTTTGAATCGATACTGTGAGATTTCTGTGTGTGTCAGCTGTCACTGGAGGAGTGAAAACAAGACCTCTAATGTGAAGAAAGAGGAAGTCCTCTAGTGTGTTTGCGTCAGCATGCTCGGAAGCTGACAGTGACCGCTAAACCATGCTTACTTGCAAACGTTTTAACCCTTGAAAGCCCCTACTTCCATGGCTACATCCACCAGACGAGATGTTCCTTCCCCATTCTCCAACCGATTGTTTACTGTGACAGATAAAAGTCATTTCTAACCACACAGTAGTTCTGCATTTCTCGTCAAAAAGTATTGTGAAAATGGCACTGTTTCTTGGGTGCTTGGTTTACACGTTCCAAAATATAACACAATATAACTTATTTTCAGTAAAGCAACAATGGAAGAGTAAAAACTATTAAGAACAATAATATGCATTAAAATCAATTAATATGATAACATGCAGAAATTAATTTCAAGGGGTGTGCACTTGACACCTGTAACAACACCCATATTTCCAACACTCCAACCATGCAGAAGACAAAATGCAACACTTAAACTCAAAATAGTCTTATTTGGATACTTACACAAACAGTATTAATGGAATTTACATAAATCATAAATTATTTATTATTTACATAGTTTATATACACATTATTCAAAAATAAACATATCTGTTTGATATTTACACAATTACACAATCCTAAAAGCTTAGCTAAAATATTTAAGAATTCAGAAAGGTTGGACAGACTAGCCTGGTTCCAGATCTGTTTGTGCCGTCTTGCAGTTGGCAAGGCACAACATCCCAAACAGAAGGCAGGACAAATAGATCTTGGTCCAAGCATAAGACTATGCTTACCGGAACGCTTAGGCCTAGATTCAATCCATATCGTGGAAAATCCGTGTTGGCGGAGACTACATTCAAGGTAAACGCTGCATATCTCAGCTCAATCGGAAATGACCTTTACATTTCTATTGTGCTTCTGCGATACAGATCAAATACCGCCCTTTCTAGCATAGCTAGCGGACACCTGTCAGGTCAGTAAGGTTACATTTATATCCCTAATTTTTCATTGTAGTTTGACTGAAACCCTAACTCTGACAAATTAGTTTGGGCTCCCCTGCCTATAGCCTGGTCCCAGATCTGTTTGTACACTACTGGTCAAAAGTTTTAGAACACCTACTCATTCAAGGGTTTTCTTTATTTTTACTATTTTCTACATTGTAGAATAATAGTGAAGACATCAAAACTATGAAATAACACATATGGAATCATGTAGTAACCAAAAAAGTGTTAAACAAATCAAAATATATTTTATATTTGAGATTCTTCAAATAGCCACCCTTTGCCTTGATGACAGCTTTGCACACTCTTGTCATTCTCCCAACCAGCTTCATGAGGTAGTCACCTGGAATGCATTTCAATTAACAGGTGTGCCTTGTTAAAAGTTCATTTGTGTAATTTACTTTCTTCTTAATGCGTTTGAGCCAATCAGTTGTGTTGTGACAAGGTAGGGGGGGTATACAGAAGCTAGCCCTATTTGGCAAAGACCAAGTCCATATTATGGCAAGAACAGCTCAAATAAGAGAAACAACAGTCCATCATTACTTTAAGACATGAAGGTCAGTCAATACGGAACATTTCAAGAAATTTGAATGTTTCTTCCAGTGCAGTCACAAAAACCATCAAGCGCTATGATGAAACTGGCTCTCATGAGGACCGCCATATGAATGGTAGACCCAGAGTGCCCTCTGCTGCAGAGGATACGTTCATTAGAGTTACCAGCCTCAGAAATTGCAGCCCAAATAAATGCTTCACAGAGTTCAAGTAACAGACACATCTCAACATCAACTGTTCAGAGGAGACTGTGTGAATCAGGCCTTCATGGTCAAATTGCTGCAAGGAAACCACTACTAAAGGACACCAATAAGAAGAAGAGACTTTCTTGGGCCAAGAAATACGAGCAATGGACATTAGACCGGTGGAAATCTTTGTTGGTGACACTGTCTGTGATTTATTTAGAATTCAAGGCACACTTAACCAGCATGGCTACCACAGCATTCTGCAGTGATACGCCATCCCATCTGGTTTGGGCTTAATGGGACTATCATTTGTTTTCAACAGGACAATGACCCAACATACCTCCAGGCTGTGTAAGGGCTATTTTACCAAGAAGGAGAGTGATGGAGTGCTGCATCAGATGACCTGGCCTCCACAATCCCCCGATCTCAACCAAATTGAGATGGTTTGGGATGAGTCGGACCGCAGAGTGAAGGAAAAGCAGCCAACAAGTGCTCAGCATATGTGGGAACTCCTTCGAGTCTGTTGGAAAAGCATTCCAGGTGAAGCTGGTTGAGAGAATGCCAAGAGTGTGCAAAGCTGTCATCAAGGCAAAGGGTGGCTATTTTAAGAATCTCAAATATAAAATACATTTTGATTTGTTTAACACTTTTATGGTTACCACATGATTCCATATGTGTTATTGCATAGTTTTGATGTCTTCACTATTGTAGAAAATAGTAAAAAATAGTGTACTGTATAAACAACTCCTATAGTCGTTGTCAAAGCATGTTTAGCCTGACAATGACCATAGGAGTTGGCAAGACCGCACAAACAGATCTGGGACCTGACTACCCTGCATCTTGGCCATTCTATAAATAAACAATATATCCATCTACATTCCCATCTTGGCTGAGTGCCAGTCTGTCTGTGCTATCAGCCATTGTTATGCTAATTGGTTAAAACATGTCAGCATTCCAATGAGTTGGCATTGGCAAGAACACAAAACAGACCTGGGACCAGGCTAATTGTGGTGGAATCGTTCGGCATAAGACAAAACAGACTCATAAAAAGACGGGGCTTGTTAGAAGTAGTCAAAGTCCAAGTCCAGATCTGGTGGTGGCTGGTATGAGAGGTAGCAGGTGATGCGATTGGGCAAGCCCAGTTTGGACACGTCGTCCAGGGCTCTTCTGCCCAGTGCTGTTCTCAGAGCTATCCTGCTGATCTGCTGTAGACTGAGGGGAGTATCTGGGGAAGAGCGAAAACATGTCAGTTGAGATAAAATACCCTAAGATATTATATTAACCCTTTTCACACTATCGTGCCATACTGAATTGTATTGTGTGAAGCTCAAATATTTTATTTTCACATAGTCCTCTCCAGCACGGTTCCAGCAACTATGGTGGATGCATAACAAGGCTAGTGTAATGCAGTGCAGCTCTGCTCAGTAGTGTGAAAAAGGTGTGTATACAACTCTCTTTGAAGGTCATATTTTCATACATGGGATAATCTGTAGACTTTTCTAGTCTTTTCTACCTACGTTGTATGAATAAAATACTTACTTTCATAGAACTCTAGGCAGATATTGGTGGGAGACCCTTGACTTGTGTAGTTGATGGGCTTTTTGCCCAGGTTGTCCCTGGCATATATGTTCCCACCGAATTCAATCAGCAGCTTGATCAGATCCACGTTCTTTACTTTGGCTGCGTGATGGAGCGCCGTCTCGTGAAGCTTGGCAGCGTTCACATTTGCCCCTTGGAGAATATGAAAAGGTTTGGTTTTAAAGGCAAGTGGTCAAGACCTACCGTTACACACATTCTGAAGATTACAACCTGCATCAGAACATTGTTTTAACGGCAAAGTTTCAAGATCAAGTTGTGGTTTTAATTTGTGTAATGCTTTCAAATGGAAGTCTGAAGTTTCTCAGGCTCTCAAGTTGCACCTTATTTTTATGGTTAGATTAGGCACTTACTTGAGAGAGCAAATTCCCATGAATGGCCTTTGAAAGATCAGGAGCAAAACAACACTTTGAAATAATGTTACCACAACGTGGTCCACCCACCTGCATTGAGGAGCACCTTGGCGCAGTCAAAGTGTTGTCTGGCACACGCTACATGTAGTGGAGTCCCAAAGTGGCAGTCATGGGCCTCCATCAGAGCTCCCACGTCTATCATGAGCTGAACGCAGTCAGAGTTACCTGTAACACACACACACACGCACACGCACACACACACACACGCACACGCACACGCACACGCACACACACACACACAGACACAGACACACACACACACACACACACACACACACACACACACACACACACACACACACACACACACACACACACACACACACACACACACACACACACACACACACACACACACACACACACACACGCACACACACACACACACACACGTCAGTCATAGTTTAAGACACTTGGGTATTGAGGGGGACAAACTACACATTACCCCATTATCCCAGTGTGTGTTCTTTATGCTGTGTGTGGGGTCCAGGACTGCTGCCCCCCCCCCCCCCCCCCTCACAACATGAACATTGTTGTAATCAAAATCAACAACATGTACCCCCCATGCAGGCCTCATGGAGGGGTGAGAAGGTGAACAGTGGAGGGTTGACCGTAGCCCCGTGCTGTATGAGTAGTTTCACACACTCCAGGCTCCCCGCAGCACAGGCATCGCACAGAGGGGTACTGCCGTCAATGTTCCGCGCATCCACCTGAGTGAGACAGACAGACACACACAGACAGACACACAGACAGACACACAGACAGACGGACAGACAGACAGACAGACAGACAGACAGACAGACAGACAGACAGACAGACAGACAGACAGACAGACAGACAGACAGACAGACAGACAGACAGACAGACAGGCAGACAGGCAGGCAGGCAGGCAGGCAGGCAGGCAGGCACACACACACATCAACATTACGGCACAACATTTTAAAATGTTCACTGATACCCCCACCAAGTGTCCTTAAATAGAGAATCTGAACTCGATGGTGAATTTTATAACAATCTTATAACAAATCAATGTGTAATAGCAAATCTAAAAACCCTTAGGGTCCCAGGTACTAGATCCCCGTCAAATTTGTAATTTGGATTCTATTCAAATGTCTCTCGCCCCTCACAGAAACAGTCACAGTTGTTTGCATGTAGGGGTTACTGCAGATAAGTCACCATCCTAAGGTTTCCCCCCCCCCACCCATATTCAGAATAGTGCCACTACCGACAGACCTATCACAAGTGACAAATAGCCCTCTGACCCACCTGAGCGCCAGCGTCCAGCAGCAACCGGACACACTGTGTCTGCCCCTGTATGCAGGCCTCGTGGAGGGGGGTGATGGAGTCCACAGCCACTATGTTGACCGCTGCCCCTCCCTGGATCAGCTTCTGTAGCTGAAGAGCCTTGCCCTGGGCAGCTGCCTCGTGTACCGCCGAACGGTCTGTCCAGAACCCCAGGCCATGAGCTGCAGGGTGGGAGGGAGAAAAGTCAAGGGATTCCTATATACAGTGAGCTCCAAAAGTATTGGGACAGTGACACATTTTTGTTGTTGTTTTGGCTCTGTACTCCACCCCTTTGGCACTTTGCCCAATAGAAATGAATAGTAAATAATGTATTGTTTCCAAAATGACACGATACATTATTTACCATTCATTTCTATTTGGGCACAAATTAATCTGAAACACAACCAAAACAAACAGCAAATGCATTCAAAAAGTTTGTAGAGTCACAAGCTTGATGTAATCATTGCATGCTAGGACTATGGGCCAAATACTAAACTTTTGACTACTTTAATACACATTTAAATGAATTTGTCCCAATACTTTTGTCCCCTAAAATAGGGGGACTACATACAAAAAGTGCTGTAATTTCTAAACGGTTTACCCAATATGGATGAAAATAACCCCAACTTAAAACTGACAGTCTGCACTTTAACTTCATAGTCATTGTATCATTCCAAAACAACAACAAACATTGTCACTGTCCCAATACTTTTGGAGCTCACTGTATGATACAGACAGTACAGGCACATTCTGCCAAATAACTGTTGATCTAAGATACATAAAACAGGGAGGAGGTTAATTATATATTTTACAGTAACATTACTTGAGCTCATTACACAAAGTAGGCCTTTAGTTTATGTCTGTATATATGCATAAATAAGGTCAGTTCTTGACTTGGGCAGGAGCTCACCAGAGCTGAGTACCGCCACCTCACATGTTCTACTGCTTGACCTCTTATAGAATATTAGCTCAAAAGTATTGTGGAGCTGCACCTAAATATAAACGTTACCGGCACCAGCTATTTTAGTCCAAGTCAAGCACTGAATAAGGTTACTGACAAAACACTGTGCTAGATCTTGAGTTATCGCTGAAACGCTTTGCAGGGTCCAGGGCAATAAATCATTGGTCCAGGGCCCGGCTCTCACGCCATGTGAATCCTGTCATAAACCCGCCCCTCCCTCCCCACGAGGCTTACCCACTGCTGACGTCCACCGTCTGTCTATGTGATGGTTGGTGACATGCAGTGGAATAGCCCTAACTTAAATGTATTAACTCTAGACAACATTGGCTAGATTCATGATCTGGTCGGCAAAATGATAGATACAGGTTCATGAATAGTTATATAAGGATCACCCTGGCTACCTACGTAGCCTACAGAATAGTTAATGCTCTAATACACCGGTCACTAGCTTGTTATAATAAGCTTAGCTGGATGGTCTCAAATTAGGTTATTAAAACAAGGAAGAACATAATGTTTTCTAATAATTGGCCTGAATAAGCCAGCTAAATAAAATACTCAACAAGGGAAAGGCATGACAAATATTTTTCTATAATTTTGATAGTGGGTTAAGCGTTCATGCAGTTTACGTCATGAGCATTAGCCTCTTTGAACTTACAGACAGGCGAGACACAAATAAAACATCTCACCTATATCTCCAAACAGCGATGGTCTGGCACGAGTAATCTCCATTTAGCTATAGATATTATATCCTCTAGTCATGCAGAATAAATTGATGCATTTTAAAACGCAGAGAAGACCAGGGAAGCATTGCTGCAGTAACGTTGTTGATAGTGGTGGATGATGGCTTAAATTAGAAGCGCACAGAACTAAAAAGAACATCAATGGCTTGTGGGATATGTAGTTTGTTGCAACCTGGTCTCAGGGCGTTTCACATTATTCTGTATGAGAGACTCTCCATTTAGTATGAAATGTTACGTTTCTTATGGTATGTATTCATTTGTGGTTGTCCATCACCCATTTTATATGATATGTTATCAATTACAATTCATATTATATGTTACGAATTTGCTAAACGTACAATATGTTACGAATTTGCTAAGTGTATGATATGTCACGAATTCTAGCTAGGTGGCTAACGTTAGCTAGCTGGCTAACATTAGCTAGGCTAGGGGTTAAGATTAGGAGTTAGGTTAAAGGGTTAAGGTCACCGTTAGGGGAAGGGTTAGCTAAAGGGGTTAAGGTTAGGGTTAGGGGAAGGGGAAGTAGTTGCAAAGTAGCTGAAAAGTAGTAAGTAGTTGAAAAGTGACTAATTATCTAAAATGTTAAAGTTGTCCGTGATGAGATTCAAACTCGCAACCTTTGGGTTGCTAGACATTTGCGTTATATGCCTACCCAACCACCCTGCCTTCGTTTTTGCCTTAAGTAACCATCTGTCTTATGTAACCATATGAAATGTAACATATCACGCTAAAGGATTGTCTTGGATTTGCTTTCAAAATAATACAAAATGCTCTGAGACCAGGTTGCAACAAATGATGGTTCCAGCCAGAAATATTTTTCTTAATAATTTATATGGTTCTGGTTCCAGCATGGGCCAACTTGAAAGAAAGTTGAACCATCCATTCATCTGCAGTAACTTAACTGGAAGAAGACCCAGACCCAGGTAATATTAATAAAGACATCACACTAACTTGTGGAAATCCAAAATGTGTAGAAGACGTTTCAGCGCCAAGAACGCCAACGCTAGATCTAAAAATGCCACGAAAAAGTCGCAAGACGTTCCAGAACTTCCAGCACCATCGACAGCTCTGCATAGCAGAAGCCGCCAACAAATTTCCCTCGAGCAAAGCAGAACATTAGTGAGGTCGGGCACTGATGTTGGGCGATTAGGCCTGGCTCGCAGTCAGCGTTCCAATTCATCCCAAAGATGTTCGATGGGGTTGAGGTCAGGGCTCTGTGCAGGCCAGTCAAGTTCTTCCACACCGATCTCGACAAACCATTTCTGTATGGACATCGCTTTGTGCTCGAGGGCATTGTCATGCTGAAACAGTAAAGGGCCTTCCCCAAACTGTTGCCACAAAGTTGGAAGCAAAGAATCGTCTAGAATGTCATTGTCTGCTGTAGCTTTAAGATTTCCTTTCACTGGAACTAAGGGGACTAGCCCGAACCATGAAAAACAGCCCCAGACCATTATTCCTCCTCCCCCAAACTTTACAGTTGGCACTATGCATTGGGGCAGGTAGCATTTTCTTGGTATCCGCCAAACCCAGATTTGTCCATCGGACTGCCAGATGGGGAAGCGTGATTCATCACTCCAGAAAACGCATTTCCACTGCTCCAGAGTCCAATGGCGGCGAGCTTTACACCACTCCAGCCGACGCTTGGCATTGTCCATGGTGATTTTAGGCTTTCAATGGCTGCTCGGCCATGGAAACCCATTTCATGAAGCTCCCGCGAACAGGTCTTGTGCTGACGTTGCTTCCAAAGGCAGTTTGGAACTCGGTAGTGAGTGTTGCAACCGAGGATAGACGATTTTTACACGCTACGCGCTTCAGCACTCAGCGTTCCCGTTCTGTGAGCTTGTCTGGCCTACCACTTCGCGGCTGAGACGTTGTTGCTCCTACACGTTTCCACTTTACAATAACAGCACTTACAGTTGACCAGGGCAGCTCTAGCAGGGCTGAAATTTGATGAACTGACTTGTTGGAAAGGTGACATCCTATGACGGTGCCACAATGAAAGTCACTGAGTTCTTCAGTAAGGCCATCCTACTGCCAATGTTTGTCTATGGAAATTGCATGACTGTGTGCTCGATTTCACACACCTGTCAGCAACGGGTGTGGCTGAAATAGCCCAATCTACTAATTTGAAGGGGTGTCCACATACTTCTGTATATACAGTGTAACTTTGGAAGGCGGCTCATGCAGTCTACTCCCTACTCACAAAGGAGGTGACCGGTTGTGACTTAAATAACCAGTGGTGTAGTGGTGCCTTGAAAAGTGGCACTCTTAAGTTTGCCAAACATTTCCCAAACGCCCCGTCCGGCGACGGAAAGGCGCCCTGTGTGAAAAATTATATGACAAAATGTGACACTTTGAATGACATAAAATTATAAATCCCATATTGGTCTTTCACAGTCAGCCAATCCAAGCTGTACTGTGTTGTAGGCTAATAGTAGTCCTACTATTAAAACAGATACATGTGGTTGTAAACTTTTTTTTCAGGTTTTTTGCTCTCAAAGTCACACTGTGTTTTTTTTTATAGAGGAAAAAAAATAGATGTCCATAACAATGCTTAAACCACATCAGCCCACATTTAAGGTCTGGAAAACATCTAAGAAATGTAGATTTTGGAGTGTAGTTACCCATTTATTCAAGTGTGCAGGCACCTAGCACTGTTGTTTGGTTTCTGTAGTTGGGGCGGCAGGTAGCTTAGTGGGTAAGAGCGTTGTGCCAGTAACCGAAAGGTCGCTGGTTCTAATCCCCAAGCTGACTAGGTGAAAAATCTGTCAATGTGCCCTTAAGCAAGGCACTTAACCCTAATTGCTCCTGTAAGTCGCTCTGGATAAGAGCGTCTGCTAAATGACTTAAATGTAGTGTTTCTGTAGCAACTGGATTGATGCAAATAATCATGATCTACTTTGTAGCTAGTTAACATTTAATTGAGAAGGTTTTTGGGAAAGCCTTTCCATCTATCAGAAGACGGTTAGGTTTTCCTGTTCCTTAATTGTTTGAAACCTGGACATTTTACTTCATATTATGAGGCATGTCTTACCTTGCTTCAAAGTAGCCTGTAGCCATAATCCCACCATAGAAACGTGGAGGCAATTATTTTATAAAGACTTCCTCATATGCACTCTCCTGTTCTATTGGTTTTCAAATTAACTTTATTTCCTTGTCTAGCAACCAAAGGCTAGTCATATTAGCAACCCATGATATTTGTTGCATCTTTAGATCTCCCCTCTTTCTACATTTCTAATGGATATTTCCATCTGTGTCCACGAAACCGCTTGCTTGTGCATTTTTTCCCGCAAATTGTATTTTGGAACTTTTGCGCATAGGCCTGCCGGCGTGTGCGCATTGCTGCACTTAAAATTTGAAAAAAGTATAGTTTATCAAAATGTTAAGCTAAACATTCTGATCTGTTCCATGATAACTATTCCAAAACTTTCTTGCCTTGCAAACATATTAGAATCCTTCATCAATTCTCAGCTGAGATCTTTCTTATCTATGAAATGTATTCTTAATGTTCATCAGTCTGGTTTTAGACCAGGTCATAGCACTATCTCTGCTGCATCCCTTGTAGTAAATGATGTAGTAAACTGTATGGATATGAGACAACATTGTTGTGCCCTCTTTATTGACCTTTGCAAGGCTTTCGACACTGTTGATCATTCACTGTTAATTCAGAGGCTATCTTCAATTGGCTTAGATCATGCCACATGTAATTGGTTTAAAAACTATTTGACAGAAGCCAATGTATAGCCTATCTACTGATGGTGTTCAGTCAAGCTTCCTAAATATAACAAAAGGTGTCCCTCAAGGGTCTAATCTGGGTACAGTACTTTGTAATGTGTACATTAACAATATTTGTTTGTCTGTGATTTTTTTTAACCTGCACCTGTGTGTGCATACTGTTCTGTATTCTATTGTCCCTACTGTTGACCAGGCTCTCTCTGACATACAGTTTGCTTTCATTGTTTTACAAAATACCCTTATTGAATGCGGGAAAAACCAAGTACAGTGGGGAAAAAAAGTATTTAGTCAGCCACCAATTGTGCAAGTTCTCCCACTTAAAAAGATGAGAGAGGCCTGTAATTTTCATCATAGGTACACGTCAACTATGACAGACAAAATTAGAAAAAAAAACCAGAAAATCACATTGTAGGATTTTTAATGAATTTATTTGCAAATTATGGTGGAAAATAAGTATTTGGTCACCTACAAACAAGCAGGATTTCTTGCTCTCACATACCTGTAACTTCTTCTTTAAGAGGCTCCTCTGTCCTCCACTCGTTACCTGTATTAATGGCACCTGTTTGAACTTGTTATCAGTATAAAATACACCTGTCCACAACCTCAAACAGTCACCCTCCAAAATCCACTATGGCCAAGACCAAAGAGCTGTCAAAGGACACCAGAAACAAAATGGTAGACCTGCACCAGGCTGGGAAGACTGAATCTGCAATAGGTAAGCAGCTTGGTTTGAAGAAATCAACTGTGGGAGCAATTATTAGGAAATGGAAGACATACAAGACCACTGATAATCTCCCTCGATCTGGGGCTCCACGCAAGATCTCACCCCGTGGGGTCAAAATGATCACAAGAACGGTGAGCAACAATCCCAGAACCACACGGGGGGACCTAGTGAATGACCTGCAGAGAGCTGGGACCAAAGTAACAAAGCCTACCATCAGTAACACAATACGCCGCCAGGGACTCAAATCCTGCAGTGCCAGACGTGTCCCCCTGCTTAAGCCAGTACATGTCCAGGCCCGTCTGAAGTTTGCTAGAGTGCATTTGGATGATCCAGAAGAGGATTGGGAGAATGTCATATGGTCAGATGAAACCAAAATATAACTTTTTGGTAAAAACTCAACTCGTCGTGTTTGGAGGACAAAGAATGCTGAGTTGCATCCAAAGAACACCATACCTACTGTGAAGCATGGGGGTGGAAACATCATGCTTTGGGGCTGTTTTTCTGCAAAGGGACCAGGACGACTGATCCGT